GCATTTTTCAACTTTTTGATGAAATGAATACTTAAAGAAGTCAATATGTCTCTCTTTTGTAATTGTGGTGAAGCTTTGATTAAAGCTCTCTCATTCAGAAGTAATAGAGTTACTGATTTTAGATCAAAACACAGGGTAAGACATTTAAGTATTTGAATAGCTTTACAAATCCCAATTTGAGATATAGAGCTTATACTATTGTACTGTTTTTAAATATAGCTTGTTGAAAAATAGACTAAAATGTGGCTGAAATAGATTGTATTCAGATATAGTTATATAATGGACTGGAAGCAAAACATTATGAAGCCTTGATCTGTAGTACAAACTTAAATTTACAATCGTCTGGGAATCTTTAATGAGTAATTATTGCTGTTTATTTGGTTGGGTTTGTTCAATTTTAAGTCAAACCAACACTGTGCAAGGTCATACAGCCAATTCTTGAAGAATTTAGAAGTCAGTTGAATTATTTATGCCCTTTTGTGTATCAATTGTTTACAACACATGCATGCTCCACTATAGAACTAACCAACTTTTCCGTTCATAATTAAAAGTCATAATAGCCTCAACAAACCAAACATCCTTTCTGGAGACAAAATATTTTTATTAGTACTGAGAGAAATTTTTAATTTTAATTGAGCCGCGTCATGACAAAACCAACATTATGGGTTTGGGACCAGCATGGATCCAGACCAGCCTGCTCATCTGCGCAGTCTGATTAGGATCCATGCTGTTCGCTTACAACCCTATAACAAGTAGAGAAACTGCATGATAGCGAACAGCATGGATCCTGATCAGACTGCGCGGAGGCGGAGGCTGGATCCATGCTGGTCACAAACCCATTATGTTGGTGTTGTCGTGACGCGGCTCAATTCATTCTGATATCTTTGTGTTGCTGTCTTAAAACAGGTGGCCACATTACAGAGGTGGCACTGTATAATGGGTATCTTATAAATGTGCATGGCTGGATAATAGATTATTATTGAAGGTGAACACAGCAGTGAGTATAGGGAATGTGACTCAAAAGTTTTAAAGATTACAACATTATAATATTATATTAATTTTCATATTCGTTTTAAAGATTCCCTGGTATTATACATTTTCATAGAACAAGGTAGCTGGGTCTGCCTTATCTTTCAGTATAGTGTTTGTCTTACACAAATGTTAATATTATGAGTAAACCAAGAAAAACATAGGCCGACTACAATAATGTAAACATTGAAATGAACATATGTTACATAAGCTGAGAAGACTGAAACATTACACTCAGGTAATGACCATATGCTTGCTGTTCAATTAGGAGGGAAGAAACTCCTGTGTTCTTTAATTTGATGAAAATTTCAAATTTATGACTTGTTAATATTTTATTATATGTTAAAAAGAGTTCATTTCAATCAAATGTCATAATATATGATTATAGAAGTGGAAAATCGAATCTGTCGATTAAAGTTTATATTTTCATAAAGTCTTAATGTCTATTATTATGGGTGGGACATAGTTAACTTTCAATGTCAATAATATAACAATTAATGGTTATAAATAGAAAAAACTTGATTTGCCGTCTGACAAGGCTCTATGAAGTTGGCGTTGTTTTTTTTTAATATCCCCAAAATTGATATTAAATGAACAGTTTCAAAAATAATACAGGGGACTGGACAAATCCATTTAAGAAAGTTTAAGCAGTTCAATGTGAAATGTATGACAGACAAATTGGATGCAGTGTTATCATTAATATTATCATGTTACAATAATGTTGCATGATAAGATAGCATAATATCTAACAATACACAGATAACGTCAATGTTTTTATGAGCTATATGGAAACAACAAACAAGAAATATTAACAAACCAATTAAAGTGTATGTTTTGTTTTGTCGGCTTTCATTGGAATTTCATTCTTGTATTAATATGAGTGGCAATACAGTGAGTCTGTGAACTTGTAGCATAAACAGAATATCATGTTGATCAAAGAATAGTTAATAAGCAATTCATACAGCTTCAAAATTCAATATTCTAATGATCAGCCGTCATGTCATGTGGTCTTTATTTGTGGTCATGTGATCTTATTGAGCATAATAGTCATGTGTTGTTGATTTATAAATTAATGATTTATTGTGTGTTACAGTAAGTTAGGCTTGTAAAAAAAAGTTTGACAGTTCAATGGTCACATAAACTGAATTTTGGGTAAATTGGCCGTATTTTGTTTGAATATTGACTAATTTTTATGACAGTACAAGTTAAGAGGCTTTCTCTGTTCTTGAAGTGGATTTACTTTTCTGAAGTGCCACCGGGTTTGAACTTTTCACCTGAACACATTGATTGATGTTGATTTAGGCAAAAAAAAATTTTTTTACCTGTAAAGAATTTTATGAAACCAGTAAGAGTATAAATATGTATTTCTGAACTTGTTTCAGGTAACAAAGAACATGATCTTGTTTAAGTCTTTGGATATGTAGATGATGAGTGATGCTATAAAATGGTTTTTGTGTTGTGATGATGTGATGTTATTTTTGGAAGTGATTCAGATACCTGATGTCTTATGGGTCATTTACCTAATTAATTGGAACAGTGATACAAGTATTTTAACACCCCCAAGTTTTAACATTATGTGTCATAAGGGTATCTTATTATTTAAATGAAGTTTGATAACGTAAAAAGATATCAGTGTTAAGAGATAGGGGGAAAATATAGATGATTTAATGATTAAATAACATGTATATGACAAAGTAAATAAATAATGTAGTATAAGTCCTCTTATACAAATTGATAAAGGGAGGTAATATTTTAATTTAATTAATGTTAGTTTGCAAGAGTGATTAGTACCTGGTTTTTGTTGTCTTGGTAATTGAATGAGAGCACTGCCCCAAATAGCTCAATAGGTAGAGTGTACTGGGACTGTGACTTTATGACCAGGGTTCAATTCTTGGACAGTGCAGGTCACCTTTGTTTTGATTGACCATTAAATTGTTCCTATGGTCATTACCAGTGCTGTACCACTGTTCTGGTACATCTAGTACTGGTAAACTGCTTACAGCCCTAGCCCAAGACCGGAGTGTTGCTGAACTGTGTTCTGGTGAATTCAAAGTGGCTCAAGCCATGATCCAGAAGGTAGACTACAAACACCCACCCCCTAATTGAATAAGAAGATGCATTATTTGAGACAAATTGAAAAAGATAGGTTAATAGTTGGATTTTACTACCAGCAATATGTGTTAGAACATTGATTCTCTAGGGGCTAGACTGCTTAACTTGCTTTAATCTGACTAGCTAATTTAGCTCTAATTTAAAACATGTTTTCCAGTCTCTTTGTGTATTGAGTTACTCATTTCATGTGATTACTTTTATCTTCTCTTTTTATCTTATTTGTGTGTGGAAGTGAATTTCATTACAGTTGGTTTTTTTAAGAGAAAAATGTGTCAGGACTACATTACTATAATATAGAATTCAATTTTATGTCCATTTCTTTTTCATGGCAAAACTATTTAAAAAGATTCATTTTGATGCAATATATATATATTTTTTTAAGAAGGGATATTAAGCTTTTTGTTTGGCTTATGATGAAATTATTTTCATTTAATATTCACATTATGTGACATATGTTTTAAAAGATAACACTCTTTTAATTAAATATTCAAATTAAACACAATTTAATATTCTTTGCAGATAATTTTCAAGTAGTTTGAAATTAAAAACGTGTTTTATCAACTGTCAAATGATAACTCGCGCAACAAATTAAACATGATCATCCTGCCTAACCTGTATTTTATTGTTGACCTTTTATTATATTAACTATACATCGTCATGTATATACTTTATATATATGAATGTGAAAGTCTTTAATGCCAGAAGAATTTTTACTCAGATTTTCTTTCAGCATTAAAAAGTATTGAGTAACTGTCATTGTGACCCTATCTTTAAGTGAAAAACCCAGATTTTGAAACTTTTTATGAGATTTTTAGTTCATAAGTGATGTAATAAATTTGTAAGGGTATATTTTTCATAGTGGAGAAACAGAAGAGCTATTGTTACTTTATCAGTAAAAGAATGTGAAGAATTCTGTGTATAAGTAAATTTTTTTTTTTGGCAACAAAATTATAAAAAAAAATGTATAAACTCAGGTTAAGATTTTACTGAAGGAGTTGTTTTGACTTCATGTGGGGTTTTCAGGGTGTTGGTTCTTCACATGTAGGTACATAATAGCCATTTTATAAGGGGAGATAATATAGGAACATGTATGATGAATAGAATCAGCTAGATGCAAGACTTTGTAATTATGCAGTCCATATGTGTTCATGATTAATTTATTGAGGGAAAATAAAAAATAACCATCTTTCCGTCATGTGATAATTGATTGCTTTTAACTGTATGACCTAGAATTTCAGTTTAAACCATGTTGTACCCTTCTTGTATCAGGATCAATTGTATGTTGCATGTATAAAAATTGTATTGATTCTTCTATGAAAAGCTTTTCTCACAAGGAATGAATCACAATTACGATATATTTATAATAACAACATGCATACTGTAAGGAAGTTTTAAGAAAGATTAATTATGATAAAATTATATAAATTCTTTTCTTGAATTCAACAAATAATTAATATAAAATATAATTATAAAATCAGTGTGAAAACTGGATCAGACCTGTATGAATTCAAGGGCCAACTTGAAGCTTATGATTTGTATTAACCAAGTTCAAAACTCATTTTAGACTCAGGTTTATAGAAAAGACATTTAATTGCATCGTAATTGCAAATAATTTGAACTACTGGTCTATTTAATTTGTTATGATTTGATCATCATATCGTTGTAAAACATCTTCTGGTTGAAATCTTAACTAAAATATTAACAACAGTGGCACCAACTTGGGTGGAGAGGGGGGTGCAATACTCCTTTCATTGTATTAACAAAAAATGTGTAATTCTTGTACCTTAATAGCATTTTAGGGCTCACTGTAGATATATTTTAGCTCCTTATTAATGTTTTATATTTATGTATATTTCCAGGTGGTGAAGAAAGATGCAAGATGGAAAATGGAGGAGGGGAGAATGACCCTGTGTCACAGTTGTTCGACCAGTTCTGTCAGCCTCAACATGTCGTGCCATCATCTCATCATTTCAGCAGCTCTGTGACGCCGTCGGTCTCAGCCACGCAGATCATCGAAACTTTCTATTTAGGAAATTTAAGATCTCGTATACACACATGGAAAGCTCACGCTCTCTGGGTAAAACTCGACAAACGTGCCAGCCATAAAGAATACAGACGAGGGGAGGCATGTGCAAATACAAAGGTAGATAACTGAATTAATATGTGAATTTACATGTGGACATCTTTCATTAAGATTCAATTAAATGATAATATCTTGGAGTAATATGAAAAAAGCATAACAAATATTTGATAATCTGATAATGTATGATATACTAATATTTTTGTAATTATGCCCCCATTTTGAAAAAAAGGGGGTATATTGCTTTGCACTTGTCGGTCCGTCGGTCCGTCGGTCTGTCGGTCCGTCGGTCCGTAGACCAAATGGAATTGTTTCCGAGTGATAAACTAAAGAACCCTTAGGCCTAGGAGCTTCAAACTTGGTTGGTGATTGTCATGGTTAGATGACCCTATTGATTTTGGGGGTCAAGGGGTCAAAGGTCAAGGTCACATTGACCTTGAAAGCAAAAAACGGTTTCCGATCAATAAACTAAGAAACCTTAAGCCTAGGAACTTCAAACTTGGTATGGTGATTGGCTCAATGACCAGTAGATGACCCCTATTGATTTTGGGGTCAAGGGTCAAAGGTCAAGGTCACATTGACCTTGGAAGCAAAAAACGGTTTCCGATCAATAACTAAAGAACCTTAAGGCCTAGGACTTCAAAAAACTTGGTATGGTGATTGGTCATGACCGTAGATGACCCCTGATTGATTTTGGGGTCAAGGGTCAAAGGTCAAGGTCACATTGACCTTGAAAGCAAAAACGGTTTCCGATCAATAACTAAAGAACCTTAAGGGCCTAGGAACTTCAAACTTGGTATGGTGATTGGTCATGACCAGTAGATGACCCCTATTGATTTTTGGGGTCAAGGGGTCAAAGTCAAGGTCACATTGACCTTGAAAGCAAAAACGGTTTTCCGATCCAATAACTAAAGAACCTTAAGGCCTAGGAACTTCAAACTTGGTATGGTGATGGTCATGACCAGTAGATGACCCCTATTGATTTTGGGGTCAAGGGGTCAAAGGTCAAGGTCACATTGACCTTAAAAGCGAAAAAAACGGTTTCCGATCAATAACTAAAGAACCTTAAGGCCTAGGAACTTCAAACTTTTATTGGGTATGGTGATTGGTCATGATCAGTAGATGACCCCTATTGATTTTTGGGGTCAAGGGGTCAAAGGTCAAGGTCACATTGACCTTGTATGTTAAAACGGTTCCGATCAATACTAAAGAACCTTAAGGCTTAGGAACATTAAACTTGGTATGGTGATTGGTCATGATCAGTAAATGACCCCTATTGATTTTGGGGTCAAAGGTCAAGGTCACATTGACCTTGTACATTAAAAACGTTTTCTGATCAATAACTAAAAGAACCTTAGGCCTAGGAACTTCAAACGTGTATGGTGATTGGTCATGATCAGTAGATGACCCGTATAGATTTTGGGGTCAAGGGTCAAAGGTCAAGGTCACATTGACCTTTTAATTAAAAACGGTTTCTGATCAATAACAAAAGAACCCTTAGGCCTAGGAACTTCAAACTTTGTATGGTGATTGGTTATGACCAATCAGATGACCCTTATTGATTTTGGCGTTAAGGGGTCAAAGGTCAAGGTCACATTGACCTTGTAGGTAAAAACGGTTTCCGATCAATAATGAAAGAACCCTTAGGCCTAGGGACTTCAAACTTGAGATGGTGATTGGTCATGATCAGTAGATGACCCCTATTGATTTTGGGGTCTAGGGTCAAAGGTCAAGGTCACATTGACCTTGTAGGTAAAAATGCTTTCGGATCAATAACTTAAGAAATCTTATGCCTAGGAACTTCAAACTTGGTATGGTGATTGGTCATGACCAGCAGATGACCTATTGATTTTGGGGTCAAGGGGTCAAAGGTCAAGGTCACATTGACCTTGTAGGTAAAAACGGTTTCTGATCAATTAACTAAAAAACGCTCATAGGCCTAGGAACTTCAAACTTTGTGTTGATGATTGGTCATGACCAGCAGATGACCCCTATTGAGTTTTAGGTGAATGGGTCAAAGGTCAAGGTCACATTGACCTTTTAAGTAAAAACGGTTTCTGATCAATAACTCAAGAACGCTTAGGCCTAGGAACTTCAAACTTGGTATGGTGATTTGTCATGACCAGCAGATTACTCCTATTGATTTTGGGATCAAGGGTCAAAGGTCAAGGTCACAATGACCTTGTAAGTAAAAACGGTTTCTGATCAATAACTCAAGAACGCTTAGGCCTAGGAACTTCAAACTTGGTATGGTGATTTGTCATGACCAGCAGATTACTCCTATTGATTTTGGGATCAAGGGGTCAAAGGGTCAAGGTCACAATGACCTTGTAAGTAAAAACGGTTTCTGATCAATAACTAAAGAACGCTTCGGCCTAGAAACTTCAAACTTGGCATGGTGATTGGTCATGACCAGCAGATGACCCTATTGATTTTGGGGTCAAAGGTCAAGGTCACATTGACCTTGTATGTTAAAACGGTTTCCCCGATCAATAATAAGAAACCCTTAGGCCTAAGAACTTCAAACTTGGCTATGGTGATTGGTCATGACCAGCAGATGACCCCTATTGATTTTGGGGTCAAGGGTCAAAGGTCAAGGTCACATTGACCTTGTAGGTAAAAACGGTTTCTGATCAATTTACTAAAAACGCCTAGGCCTAGGAACTTCAAACTTTGTTTGATGATTGTCGTGACCAGCAGATGACCCCTATTGAGTTTTTTGGTCAAGGGTCAAAGGTCAAGGTCATGACCAGTAGATACTTTATAACCCTTATTAATTGTTTGATCACTGGGTCAGACGTCATGCATAATAACCTTATCACATGACTAATTGGCTGCTGATAGGGGGCATACATGTTTTACAAACATATCTTGTTTATAATTATATTGCTAAATATCTAAAGTCCATGGCTTCTAGTTAGTAATGTTTTCTGATGATTAACAATAATATGTGTTATCTTTATACTTTAACAGTCAACAGGCCTGATTATTATTATAGTTGCTACATGTTTGAAGTTCATCATTGTGTCTTGGAGTTGATTTCATTGGAATTAACGTGACTGTTTTCAAGTCATGTTTTTATATCAAGCTGAAAGTAGAAGGTGTTATGTTTTGTTTAGGACTCCAGAATTGTGCTAGAGTATGTCAAGATGAGTTTAATAGAATTCTTGCTCATATTTTTTGCTTGATATTTTGTTACTGAATATGAATTGTGATAATCGAATTATCTCTTTGTTTTATCTGATAATTATATTTATTTCTAGGTTATTATCATTTGGAGGAGGAATATGTGTCTACGTGTTGCCATAGAAACGGCCTTACTAGGTGCAAGGACAGTGGTAGTGGAGAAACGTGACAGGTTCTCACGGAACAAATGTCCTACATCTCTGGCCGTACCTTATCGTTGACCTGAAAAATCTTGGTGCTAAAAAGTTTTACGGAAAGTTTTGTGCTGGGGCCATAGATCATATTAGTAAGTATTTTATTTTTTATAAAATCAAATTAAGAATTGTTTATAGAATTTTATTCCCAAGTTTTCTATGACTTTAATAGGCTGTTTAAACTCTGTCTCTCTAAACTTTGAGTAAAAACAGGCCTTGGCCTTTCTTGACATTGTTTTGAATGTCTGGGCATATCAGTCAGTATTAGAGTCTGGACCGAGTTTGGATTCAGGCTTATATTTTTGCCTTATTTATAACTATACATTGCCTTTTTGTAACGTCAACAGTTTCTAGTACAATGTAGTGGATCCAATTGGCCGAACAGTAGCACTTAAAAAAATCCAACAGACTGGTACCAAGGGAAAATCTTGTTTGACTATATATTTGCAAACTTTTCTGGCTCTATACTGATGACATGATCCTGTCATATTACGAGTGATAGCACTTAATAAAGAAACATTGTGTTGTCAATACAATCAAGTAAATAAGAGGATTTAAACAAAGAGAAAAAGGTATGAATGTTTTATATGTGTCTTTATGACATTTAAAGTCATCAAGTTGATCTGAATTTTTATTTAGCTGTAATAAATTAAAGGAAACAGAATCCCTAAAGAAAGCCCAAAACAACAATATTGGAAATGTTGCAGGGTCGGTTTGATTGAGCCTGTTCATAAGCTTTGTATATTAAAGGACATAAACTCCTGTATAACTATGGTTTAGATAATGTTTGGTGCTTGGGTCTGTTTTGTTATATAACGATAAACATGTTTATGTTTCAGGTATTCGACAATTGCAGTGCATCCTGCTGAAGGCAGCTTTAATAGTAGGTGTTGAAATCCACGTCAATGTTGGTTTTGAAGATATAATTGAACCGACTGCTCCCGGCCAAGGCTGGCGTGTCAAGGTCGATCCAGAGAATCATCCTTTGTCCGAGTACGAGTTTGACGTTCTTATTGGAGCTGATGGCAAACGTAATACGCTACAAGGTATATAAAATATGATTTGTAATACATCCATTTACTTGATTTAAATCCATATATTTTACCAATGACTTTGTGTAACAGATTTGTCTGGTTTTGTGTTTGAAACTGTTCGATGTCAACAAAGGGAATTCCAGAAAGTGTGAAGTGTTAAAGAATCAATGTGGCTGAAAGAAATTTGAAAAGTCACTGTATGAATCTGTTAATCATTATAACACCATGATATGTGGTTGTTGTTCTTTGCATTTGCAAAATAATTTTACTTCTTGTTGCACTGTAAAATGTGCTTAATACTTATATAGCATCAAATTTGTGTGAAAAGATATAGTGATAGACACATTTGCTTGTTCTATATTTAGTTTGTCTTTCTGTGATAATAAATTGACTACAAACTAGAGAATAACGGAATCCTTAAAGATTACCAAAACAACAAAAGTGAAAATGTTACAGGCTCAGTTTGATTGAGAACCAAGCCTGTACAAGTTTACAGACTGTGATAATTTTTGTCAGTGTGA